CCCTGCGCCCGGCTCCCAGCCCTGGCGCCGGGGCTGGACGGCCTTGCGCCAAAGCTTGGCTTTTTCGGGAGCTGCTGCGTGTGGTTTCATTGCGAGAGCAGCCTGCGGGCTGCCACCAGGTAGCAGCACTGAAACCTGGATGAGCAGAAGCCTCCAAAACCGCCCTCCGCCTTTGCTAGCCCCGGAGGTGGCTCCAACTCCCCCTCACGCACGCCGTTTTCATGCCCCCAGTTCTCCAAGTCGATGGTGCTGGACGTGTACAGCGATTACGTGAACAACTTCACCACGGCCATGTCCCTCATCAAGAAGGCCTGCCTCACCAAGCCCGCCTTCCTCGAGTTCCTCAAGGTCGGTGCTCCCGTTTCCAGCCTCCCTTTGCTGTTGTGACGGTTTTCCTGGGCTCCGTCTCCCTTCTGGGTGGCCAAGGGAGGGTTGGCTGGACCTGGTGCATCCCTTGGTAGCTCATCCATGGAGGAGGAGCAGAGGGACGAGGAAGGAGGGATGAAGGTGGTGTAGAGGCCATCTCATTCATCATCAGGGCCCTGGGTGGGTTGGGAAGAGGAGGGAGGGATGGAGGTGGTGTGGAGGCCATCTCGTTCATCATCATCATCAGGGCCCTGGGTGGGTTGGGAAGAGGAGGGAGGGATGGAGGTGGTGTGGAGGCCATCTCGTTCATCAACATCATCAGGGCCCTGGGTGGGTTGGGAAGAGGAGGGAGGGATGGAGGTGGTGTGGAGGCCATCTCGTTCATCAGGGCCCTCAGGGCCCTGGGTGGGTTGGGAAGAGGAGGGAGGGATGGAGGTGGTGTGGAGGCCATCTCGTTCATCAGGGCCCTGGGTGGGTCGGGGAGCCCCGAGGGTGCTGCTGTGGGTGAAACCTGCCTGGGGTTGGACAACCGTGGGCACCCTCTTTCTTGGCAGAAGCGGCAGATGGCCAGCGCTGACCGGGTCACGCTCTATGGGCTGATGGTGAAGCCCATCCAGAGGTTCCCACAGTTCATCCTGCTGCTGCAGGTACGGTCAAGGGGGGACCGCAGGAGGAGGACACCGACTTTGCAGCCCAGCTGGTTGCTCCTGTTTGGGGTCAACAGCCTTCAGACATGTCCCAGCTTCTTCTTCCCTTCCTTTTTCTGGCCAGGACATGCTGAAAAACACCCCCAAGGGCCACGCGGACCGGCTGTCGCTGCAGCTGGCCCTCACCGAGCTGGAGACGTTGGCGGAGAAGCTCAACGAGCAGAAGCGCCTGGCCGACCAGGTGGCCGAAATCCAGCAGCTCGGCAAGAGCATCAGCGACCGCAGCAGCCCCAACAAGTGGGTGAAAGCCGCCCCGAGGGTTTTCCGAGCCGGGCAGAGAAAATCCTCCCTGGCTTTAGGAGTTTGCGCCCAGCAAATGTCCTCTGAGCAGCAGTGCTGGGAAGGGACGGTGCCTCTTCTGCGAGCTCGGTGCTCCCCAGGCAAGGGATTTCGGGAGGCCTCGCTGCCATCCCGCCTCTTCCCGGCAGACGGCGAGAGCGAACCGGAGCGCGTGCTGCGGAAATTCCCCTTCAAGGCGCTGACGGTGGGGGAAAAAACCCCGGGGTGAAGGGAAAGAAGGGAAGGGCCGGGGTTTTTTTTTCCCCTTGGTTACGGGCTGCTGTTGCCTCCTCCCTTCTGTCCATCTGCCTGATGTTTTTTTGCAAGCGCTGTCAGAAAAAAAAGCAAACCCCCCCGCCCCTGCTTGAAGCTGTTGCAAAACATCCTGTGCAGCAGGGGAGACGGGCTGTGCCGCGGCAGCCTCTTCCGCCCGGGGAGGAAAACCGGGGGCG